AATTTTTTTTTTTTTTTTTTTTTTTTTTCTTTTTGTTCTTGCCATTGATTGAATACTACAAACCTCTGGGATCTGCTTGTAATTTTCTACTCAGTATATATCATTCATGTTCTATGACGTAGTGAAAGTATAGAAATTCATAATCTGAACGATGGACTGCAGATTGTTGGGGTAACTTGTGCAGAAATTGGCAGCAGTGGCCTTGGTGTTTGCATTAGTTTCAAATGGGTTGGAAGGCTGCTGAAAAGCTTATTAGGCACTGGAAAATTCTTAGAGGAGATAATGTGAGGGAAACATTTTAAAGATATATACCTTACTTTCTCCTATTTATGTGTTAGGTCTCTCTCTGACGATCGTGTTTGTTGGTATTTTTCATAGGTGATGATCATTAGAGGCAAGGATAAAGGAGAAACTGGTGTTATTAAGCGTGTCATTCGCACTCAAAATCGGGTTATTGTTGAGGGTAAAAACCTGGTAAGAAAATCTTTGCCAAATTGGACAATTTGAGGTTTAGAGTTGAGCTTTCTTGTGTTCAATTGCTGTGCTTGGGCCCTCTTGCACTTGTCTGATAATGTAGCTATGCTGGCATTTAAGTCTTGCAAATGATTTGCTTGGTTGTTTTGATTTAGGGTTAAGCCTTTTCCCCCCTCCTCATATCCTTCTCTCTCTCTGCATTGAGGTCTTGCGATCACATGATTATCTGTAAAGTCAACTCACTTTCATCTTCAAGGTTCAGAAAGGGGCTGAATATTGAATTCAAGTAATGGCCTATGAAACTGACTTTGTGCTTGCCAATTCAAATGGAACTAACGAATGGCAGCATTATGCTTTATGTTTATGAAACTAGAGAAGCATTTTCCCCAACACTTGCCACTCAATCAATGTCTATAGTCCACTGATATTCAAGGGTAGTAGGATGTCATTAAGTTGAAAATCGTGTTATTATTTCACTTTCCATTTATTTTACCAGCATGTATAATCTACAGCTGCAGCTGCTCTGATGAATGCTATTTTATGGTTCTAGCAGTTTTGTTTATAACTCCTGTTGTTTGTATGTTTCCCTTCATCGATTTTAATCTCTATCATTTTTATGATTTCAGCAGTTGCACATGACATGAGTGTGTCAGATTTATTCTGTCATTCACTTTTCTATGCTTCATACAGGTGAAGAAACATATTAAACAAGGACAAGGTCATGAAGGTGGAATCTTTACGGTTGAAGCTCCTCTCCATGTATCCAATGTTCAAGTTGTTGATCCAGCAACAGGGTTTGGACACTATCCATGACTGCTAATGGGTTGTGATGTTTTCCTTGTGCTAGAGCATTGTCAAACATTATTCTTTTGCAGGAAGCCTTGTAAGGTTGGTGTTAGATATCTTGAAGATGGTTCTAAAGTACGAGTTTCAAGAGGAATTGGAGCCTCAGGATCTATAATCCCTCGTCCAGAAATCTTAAAGATAAGGACTACTCCCAGACCTACAGTTGGTACTGATCTAAAGTCTATTGCCCCTTTTATTTTTATCTATTCACTTTGCTGTTATTTAGAAATTTTTTTTTCTTGTTCTTTGCTAAACTTACATGTTCTGATGTGCTTCCATCGCAATTCTGTGTAGTTGGCCTTTCCTTTGTGTTTCCATGTTATTATATGTTCTAATTAATTTTACTCAATCATATAATAATTTAGATGTACTGTTCTTTCTTATCAAGAGCTGTGGTCTGAGTTGAGTCTTGTTTGAAGCTATACACATGGATGGATTTTTTTCTTTATGCTCAATCTACAATGTGGGTGGGGGTGGAGGGAGTCACCCTGCCATTCCTTTGGATGTAAAGGTTAGAGCATGTTTAGGCATGTCATCAATGAGCCAATTTGATGTTTAGTGCTTGCAAATATTCACATGAGCTCTCTCAAAAAATAGATGTTCTAGTGGATACCATGGTTAGCTGTTGCCATGCCCTTTTTGTTAGTATAGTAGGCTGACGGACTATGCTGCTAACTGCATATTTATTTTTATGATGCTGATTGTATCATTACTTAGACATCTGTTTTTCTTTTGCCCTCCCTCTTTCTTTGTCTACTAGGTTCTGTGAACAAGGTGCATAGAGCTGTTGTAAACGTGTTGAATTGAGTACAATATTAAAAAGTTCTTTGTCTTCTTTATTTCAAAACCTTATTTATTTATTTATTTTTATATTAGGTCTCTGAAAAGTGAGCTAATATGGCCTATTTTTCATCTTCATCGATCGTTGTTCCTAGGCCCCACATCCTTTGGCCCAAGAAAAGCAAACAACAGTTCATACACCTACTATAGGCATAATCCTATTGCACCAAGTCCATCTTCTCTTCCTTACTTTAGTCATTCTTGTAACACTAAACTCAATGAAAAAACCACCTACTGAATGCTTCCATTAGTATTGGTCTTCAAGAAGGGTAAGTTGTGATGTCCCACATTGGTTGGGGTGGAGAACAAAATACCATTTATAAGGGTGTGGTATTAGGGTGTGGAAACCTTCCCCTAGCAGACACGTTTTAAAGCCTTGAGGGGAAGCCCGAAAGGGAAAGCCCAAAGAGGACAATATTTGCTAGCGGTGGATCAGGGCCGTTACAAATGGTATCAGAGCCAGACACCAAACGATGTGCTAGCCTTATCGTTGTTTTTTGAAGAGGGTAGACACGAGGCGGTGTGCTAGTAAGACGTTGGGCCCCAAAGGGGTGGATTTGGTGGCGGTCCCACATCGATTGGAGGAAGGAAAGAGTGCCAGCGAGGACGCTGGGTCCCGAAGGGGGGTGGATTGTAATGTCCCACATTAGTTGGGGAGGAAAACAAAACACCATTTATAAGGGTGTGGTATAAGGGTGTGGAAACCTTCCTCTAGCAGACGCGTTTTAAAGCCTTGAGGGGAAGTCCCAAAGGGAAAGCTCAAAGAGGACAATATCTGCTAGCGGTGGATCTGGACCATTACAAAAGTGATGGAAGCAGACCTTGCTCTCTCCAACACCTAGATGAAAATGGACTTCAAAGAAATTCATAGTATATTTCATGGTAAAGGTACGTGCAGTCAAGTTGGTTATATTCCTTCTCTAACAGATAAAATGACAGTTAGAGTAGCTTAGTATTGAAATGCTTGCTCCGTCTGGCATGTTATAGCCACAATGTACAAGACTATAAAGGTACAACCATGAACCTTAGTAGATAGCTTCAGAATGTAAACATAGAAGTTGACCTTCCATTTTGAAAGTTTATGGTAGTAAAATGGAGATCTGCCGATGGTGGGACTTATCTGTGAGTGTAAGATAGAGCTTTTGTTATGAGACTGGGGCCCATGTAGTTGTGTAATAGGGGCTGCAAGGGAAAGTTGTAATTATGTCTCATTTAGTGCGAGGAGAGTAGGCCAATTCTGATCATTTTGGGTAGTTTTGTTATTACGAGAGAATAGGGAGCTCTCTCCATCGGCTCTGTTTCTGAAAAAGGTTCTATCAGTTAGCAAATAGTTTGGCTATATCAATCAACAAATAACAAATGAACTAGGTATGCAGCTAAGATTTGAGCGAAGTTAATTGAAAAGGGGGAAAAAGAAAATGAAAACTCATTGCATGCAACCATCTTAAAGCCAACACGGCTCAACCATTAAGTCGTGTAGATCATATGCCCATGCGCGGATGCCCCCTAAACTTTTGGAATTTGTGTATTTTTGTTTATTTTAAATTTGATCCCTGAATATGGGATGTTGGTCCCTCCATGTATTTAAATTTTTTTTAAACATGTAGAGGCATCATTGTTGTGGCTCCCACACAAATTTTTTCTTCTTTATTAATTAAGATTAGACTACAATAGTTTGAAATTCTCCTTACCAGCCTAGTGCATTGGGTAATGGTTTTCCGCCGTGTTGTCTATTTAATACAGTTTGTTAATGTCAAAAGGGAGGCTAAATAGTAAAACGAATTGCTCTTCTTTTGGCCGTAGAAGGTTCTGGATCAAGTCCTTTATCCTGGCTTTTTAACTTTTCTAGACGGCTCACAAATAATAATAATAATAATAATAATAAGTTTGCGTTGGGACCCCAACTTATTGCTCTATATGTAAATAAATATTTAAAAAATTTGGGGGCCACCATCTCATATACATGACTGAATAATATTAAAATATGTTGTGTTGTCCAATCCTGTATGCATAAATTCCAAAATTTTGGGGGGACTATGACTCCTTGCTCCCTTTACCATTTGACCATGGGCTTGATGATAGGTTCTAAGGTTAAACCTATTCGGGATATTCAGGTGGTGCAACTACTGATTCACTAATGTTAATTTTTGGCCCTCCGACCTATATGGTATAGATCTGCCCTTGCATACCCCAGGACACCAGTTTTTCCGACCAAATCAGTTTAGACATCCATGTGAACCAAACTTAACAGTTGCTCACAGAGCTATTATGAACCTGAGGGGATTTCAAAATAGTCAACTTAATGTTACTGACTAAGCTGTGAACTGTATATCTTATTCTTTTGGCTGCTTATCGTTTCACTCCAGCTGTAATATTTTATTCTTTGCATTGTTTAGCTAGGTTATCTTGTCCTCTCTTTCTCCGTATAGCAGGTATTGAGCTTCTTTAATAATGGATTGAAATCAATTCAATAGTGACAAAAAATTCTCAAGTAATAATAACAAAAGAACTACTTGTGTGAAGGATTTCAGTACTGTTCATAATACTATTGAAAAACAAACGAGAGAATACGTGAATGTGACTCAACAATTCTATGTTAGCCACTGTATCTTTGATGAAACTTAGACTTCATGCATAATTCTACATTTGATGTCTCAATCACTCGGTCTAGTCAATTTGGTCAGAAGAAATTAAGACCTTACAGTCTGGTTCACGTTAGCTTAACATACAGCCCCAATATATGTACTTTGCTGAAGGTGTGAAGACCGAAACATTAACATGGAACTATGGCACATGCAATTCAATACAGTTCTCTAAATTTATTTGAATTTATTCCTTCAGTAATCGTATTACTTGTGCTCCTTTTGATTCGATCTGATTTGTTGATTTGCAGCTGGTCCTAAGGATACTCCAATGGATGTGGTACTGGAGAAAAGTTATGATGCTAAAACCGGGAAGGGCATGCCTGACCTTTAAAAGTTACATCCAATCAATTCAGAAGACATTTGTTGATGCATGGGCGGCAGCTTGCTTGTATTTCATTTTCCTCGTTTGTTATGTTCGTTTATTTTAGATTAACATTCTTGCGTACTTTAGAAGGAATGACCCTGATCCTTTGATGGTTATGATAAAAGGGAAATAATTTTGTGTCAAATATATTTGCTCTTTCCGAGCCGCTTCATAGAGAGAAAAATCCTCTTCGTTTACAATTCTTGCTTTCATACTTCTCTGTGCAGAGCAATGTGAAAGATTGATTGCTTCCCAGAGGATGCAGAAGATCTATTTTTACTTGGAAACAAATCATTTCATGCGTCTTCTTACACAACTAGTAAATTCTTCCTTGCGCGTTAAATGAATAAATGCGTGTATAATGCTTAATATTTTTGCAATAAATCCCACAACTAAACCAATTTATAAAGTAGATTGTAGCCTACTTCACACTGATCATGATAATAAAAAAAACAAGGTATTCTTCATGCGTCTTCTACTTACACAACCACTAAATTCCTCTTCCTGCAGTGAGTGAACGAAGGAATTTGTTGTTGTATGTGAAACTTCTACCAGCTGAGCTGAGACGGCTGGGTGATGGCCGAGTGTTGTTAGTTCGATAATTCAAAGAAGCAGAGAGCAGAAAGATCCAACAAGCAGCCATTGATATATCCAATGGTATTTACCTACTTTATCCACACTGTCATGGTGAGAGGTTTGTATCAGCGAGGGTGATTGCTGATTTGACACTTCACTGCAAATGATTAACCACAGAGGGCAGTGGACCTGAAATCATCATACTTCACAACTCAAAAGGACGAATCGTAGTCCCCATATATGTGTATGTTATTTTCGGAGCTGACTTGCTTTTCTTTTGCAGAAATTTAGAAGGCACCAGAATTGTTGCTGAATCCTGTCTTAACAAAAGAAAAACTTGAATGATTCAGTGAACCAAATCAAGTGTTTTCTGTGTTTTAACTGTTGGAAAAATATGGATTTGTTGGATTGCACGTGGAGTAATTGGGAACACCCTTCTTTCTTTCATTATCACTCACTTTGGGAGTTCACCCGTGTCTCTTCCAACTGACATTGACAATCACACGCCGTCTTTCACAAGTAAAGGCACACACCACCATAAACTTTTGAATTTGGACCAAACCCAACGTTATCCCTCAAAACAGAATTAACGTCTGAAAAAAGCTTTAACTTACCGATACCCCGGATTCAAATGCTTTTTGTTTTGACTCTTGACTATGAACTTTGCATACTTTCTCTATTGTCGTATTGTTAACTCCTGTCTGTCTATAAATTCAACATTGGACAGTGTTTCCTTTAACAACGTAATGATGTCCCTACGTTTCAAGTGCTTGACATTGAAAACCTCTCACACAAACCCAACTTAAAAAGTAAACCCCCTTTTGCAGTAACTAACGGAAGGGAGAAAACAGTGATGCCTCCCTCTGTGGAGTTCCATTATGGGGTTGTGTTAAATTCAACGCGACTCTGCAATAAGTTCCATTTTTGGACCAACCTTAACCACTGGCTGTGATCATATTTGTACATGCATGTTCGTGCTTAAATCACGTGGGATCACGTGCACATAGGATCTTATCAGTTTCAAGTTTGGACCAAGTCTTTTTATAACACCCATTTTCATGATCTATTAACAATTATTACCTTTCAAGTTTCCCAGTGTGTGCATTATTTGGTCCTCATGATGCTACCCACATTCTGCTTACTTACTACTGTATTGTCTATCAATGCTATCTCAAACCTGTGGCCCAATTTGTGTCTTTAAATCACAACCACTCAGATAAAGAAACACACTAAACTATTTAATGGAAATAATTGAAATCCTCTGGTTGATTGAACTAAGCTCCATATTGACACGTAAAAGCTGCGAAATTGCTACTCTTTAATTGCTCCTTGACCAATCAAATGCTTGAAGAAACACAAATGCATTATTGTTTTGTGTTAGATAATATGATATTTAAAAGGGTATGAATAATTGTATAGGTTGTATTGTATTCAAACCAAAGACTTCGAAGACCTAGACAGTCCTTAGTAGCCCAAATAATTGCACTAAGTGTTGGTTTGGGGAGCAGCCTAAGCTAAGGGAAACTGTACATAAAATTGACTCGACAAGTAAATGCATGAGGGAGAAATCATTTAACTATCTCGGTTGCTGGTTTATAAATAATGTCTATTCTTTTTTCAATCAACAAATGATTTTGTACAAATAATGGCATTGACGTGTCTTAAGAATACAACTCTCTCGAGTTAAGAGCAAAGATTGAAAGGGCAGAAAGATGGGCATTTGTGTGGCCATATGGCTCAGATGTTAAGGGACAATCTCATCTGCTACTTATCCATATTCTGCCATCGTTTTCACATCAGGAAGCATATTGGTGTAGGATTAAATTATTCTGCAAACAAACCCATTAGCTGATATAAGACAAATGAAGAAAACAACCTAGGAAAATAATTTAATAGCATATCGTATCCAATAAAATGTATATTCCAAATCATGGAGGTGGAGCCAATTGATTAGCCGAGGGAACAAAGCCTAGCAAGCTCGCGCCTGTACTAAGCCTAGAAGCTAGCCAAGGCAAGGACATGTATATCTATATATATATATTTAGTTTTCATCTCATTTAGCAATAGAACTAGCAAACAAAGAAAACTAGCTATATTTAAGAACAAAGGGCTACAGAGCTGACCCTAAAACAAAAGAAATATCAATCCAATCTTTGGAAGAATAAACCAGAAATCAATTAATCAAATGATATAATACCACTCTACCCAACAACAAAAACTAAATGAAACAATATGTTTGCTTATTGACATGGTGATTATTATTGTGAAGCTGAAAGGCTGCAATTTTAGGACTCCAAGCAAACGACATATCATATAAGTTTTAGCAATAGCATTCACTTAACACGTATACTACTTGTTACATGTAAATATATGGGTGCTATTTAATGCAGTTTTTACCGCACGTAAAGCAAGCTGTAAGAGTAAATATCACTGAAACGTAAGTTTGTAAAAACAGTCCGTTTCCAGCTCGGAATCCTCGAAAGCTAAAACTGAGAAAGTTGGGTTTCGATCAGACTAAACGATAAAACATGTCTCCACATTCATCTCTTTCTCTTATGGGATTGTTGCACACAAAGGTAAGGATTCAATTACATATCAACAACAAGAGGTTCTCTCCTAATTGAATGATGGGATGTACTTTGCCATCATAGCTGAATGGCTAAGCATTCACAGCCGTACCTTACGACTTTTTCAACAACTTCTACAAAACAAATTAACGAAAAAGAAAGACTTCAAAAGCAGCAATTAAAGAAGTAAAAAGAGGTTCCAAACTGCTTAGTTTTTCTGAGAGGTCTCATTTTTCTTCCAAGATATTAAAAGGAAGGTGTGAGCTGACATTAAATAAGCCATCTTATTAAAAGAAAGAAAATGGGGAGAAAAAGACAGGTCCTTTTGAAAAGACGGGTAAAGCTACGAGTACGACGGAGGCAGTAAATGCGAGAATAAGATTAGACAGAGGGGGAGGAAATGCAGTGGGGTCACGATTACAGAGTAAAGGGGTAGGGTCACATACAGTTTGCTAAAATAAAAATAAAAAAACATAAATAATAAATGAAGGGTTGAGGACACTCTGATGGCATTTGGCAAAAAAATTTGAAAAAAATGGCAACTTTCTTGGGCTGTTTTGGTGAAAAACAGAATGGAGTCCGCTAGTCTTTTTGTGCAGTGAGCATTTTTAATGTTCCTTAACGAAGTAGCAGTGACAGTTTTGGTTTCACCCTTCACCCAATGCATTCACCAATTGATGACCTTTTTAACTTTTTCTTTTTCATTTTGGGTCAGTCTGCTGTTGAATTTGCAAATTTTCCTGAATTTTGTTCTTCAAAGATAGTAATTATGTATTCTTAAATGGAATTTTAGAAGATATTTGGACCACTCCCCATGAGTGATGGTCCAAATGAGACTCTTTCCAAATTCCAATTCATGTGGAAGAAAGGAAGGGAATCTAAGAATTCATGTTGTACTAAGATTAAGTGCTTAGATGAAAGTTGAGGCCTTTAGTTTTGGCATAAAAAAGTGAAAGGAAATTCAGCCATCATAATGCCCAGTGCAGGAAACAAAAGTGGAGACAAAATAAGAGTATTTCTCACCAAAATCAAAACCCACATGAATGGATATAGAGCTTTTTTTTTTTTTTTTTTTTTAATTCCCCACTTTCAGTTGCAGTTTGATGCCATCTGTACATATTCTTTTTTCTTTTCTATTTTGCATAACAATAGAATATTTGACAGAAGAAAACAGGAAAAAGTGTCCTAATTGTGTGAAGCTCTTATATTATCTCTACAACCCTTCCTTCCCCCAAAGAGAACTTTCATTCCAAAGGGACTGCAAATGATTTAGACATGAAGGACTTGTCCCCTCTCTCTTCCTTCATTTGTCCTGAATATAAAATAAGAACATGAATGGAGCAAAAGGAAAATAAATAAATAAAAAGCAGTAATTTTCCAAGTCTTGAACTGTCAAGGTCTTGATTTTTCTCAAGTTAGAGATATAGAGCAATGAGTTTTGAGTCATGAAGTCAGCGATTCAAGCATATGATACAATCAACCAACACCAAATACTCATTCATGGTAGTATTGTGGATTTAAGGTATTTAATATATCAAGACTCAAGAGCAACAGCGAAACATTAGCTTTCTCTTACCTTGCTACAAATATCATGTTCGGGCCAGTTGAAGTCATGAAGTAAAGCTCAGGTGAGAAAGATCAACGTGAGTTTTACCTGAAATATGGATGAACAAAATGCAATGAGGAAAAGGGAGATGAACCGACATGGAAAAAAAAATGTAAATGAGCAACCTTCTTTTTTGGATTCTAGGCATTAGAAACACCTCCATAATTATGGAGACAAAGAAGACTTTTGGCAGTGCCCACCTGCAGAATGGGGACCAAAATTACAAATGAGAAGAGAAGCAGTGCAAAAGATCTCAACTAAATTTTTTAATGAGAAACATGACTAGAAAATGACATTTCAAAACTAGGCATTCTATGACAGAGGTTTTCAGATATTTACCTTACAGGAACAATTTGGATCCCCCCTTCAAAATGTCTTTTCTTTTGAAGTTTTGTGCGTCGTGAAGATCAGCCCA